AACCTGGGTGATACCTAGTGTTCTTGATATAATTCTGCAATCCTTGCAGTGGTGTAACAGTTTTACAGGGTGGACCAAAATAGTTTCCAAGAAGTTTCGTTGAATTATTAGCATTGGGGCCAATAACTGCAAGGGACTTGGTTTCCAATTTTGAAAGCGGGAGAAGCTTATCAGGATTCTTTAGCAGGACTATGCCATCTTGAGCTGCTTTTAGGGCTAGAGCCTGATGCTCTTGGGAACAGACTTGGTCTGGAGCAATGTTGCCATAAGGCTGTTTAGCGGGATTGCCATTGAATAGTCCTAATCTCATCCTTATAGAGAAAAGGTTGTGAAGGGCTCTGTCTATTTCAGATTCCGGCAATTTTTTCTTTTTGACAGCTGATTTGGTGTAGTTCTTCAAGTAATCACCACAGTTAACATCCATCCCTGAAATATTTTTTTGCTTGTCTAAGAAATTAGACGACAGGCAAGTAAAACTACAACTATTTATGCACTTCATATGTTTTTTCTCTTGAAATTAGAAAGTTGAAACTAGTTCCTTAACTAACTGTTGTGGCTGTTTGGTAGTAACACGCAAGCCTATATCATTGCTACTGTGAATTGAGACCTGTTCCTTGATGTCTTGATCATTTCACTGTTTCAGGAAAAATGCAAAACCTTTGCACTTTATTTATAGCTTTGTCTAAAGGAAACGCTATTTAGTGGTACAATTGTCCAAGGGATTCTTTCCTTGGGACTTTTTTTATTTTTATTTTTACTGTTATATCAAAAATCAAACACACTGGACCAGATATGCAAATAAGGTGGATCTTTCTCCTTGTGGCCACACGATTCTTTTGTTCATTGAATATCTACACTATTTTTGCTTATTTGATGTGTTCATTTAACTTGCAAACAAGTACAGGCTCTAGTATGGCCGTGCAAAAGGAGAGAATCACAATACCGGCTTTAAGTACATCTGCAACAGCATCTTCTGGTGATTTAGCGTATCCCTGATCATCGTGAATTATGGCGACTGCATCACAATCTGATGTGATGTACCTGATTATTTTTCCAAGAACAAAACACCAATGATCATTTTTCTTAAAAGAGAGAAAAAAATCCTTCTTTTCAACATTTATCTCCTTACCCGTAGAAGCCCCACTGCCCTCTGGCCTTTTTAGACAATAGATTGTAATCTGCACAATTTGGGACCCCATTAACACGATTATAAGCACACATTATCCCACTAGCTTTTCCTTCTTGTATGCAGCTCTGGAATGGAGGCTGGTACGTATCCGCTAAATCCTGCAATGTGACCTAAACCCAGAAAAAGGTGCTGGTATGTAAATGAAACGGCAGAGAATTTCATTTTAACTTGAATATCTTAAATATAGATTTGATTAATTTTAAGAAGGGAAAATAAACTACTGTACAAAAGTAGAAACAACTACCTTAACTTAAGCAATATATAATTCTGTGCTTCTTGAACTTCTATATCCTCTCCTTGACTGGTCAAAGATGTTTTTGATAAGCCTACATTTTTGAATGGTCAGATTTTATGTCGCTTAATGATTACTTTAGCCAGATATCCTTGAATTATTCATCTAGTTTTCAGTTGAAGTTAAAACACATGACATAGCCACAGATTAAAGATCATATATATATATATATATATATATATATAATGCAGCACCCAAAAGCTTGATTCGTCACTAATCTATGTTTTTTTTCCTGATTAAAAACTATTTAAACACATCAGGTAGCTGGACCAATTTGGGATCTTCCAATTTCTTTTTAAACATCGCACAGTGAAAGGAAAGAAGACAATCATGACCATTGTGTATCACTTACTTGTGCATCAAAGATGAACCTATTCATGCCTTTCCATTTATCCAAGTCATAAGCAGTAAAATGCTTGCAACAAGCTGAAGCTTGAAGTTGCTCACCAAGGGTTCCTCCTCCAAAAGAGTCCCCTTGAACTCCTCTCACGTATGACACTGCATACTTTCCAGCGACAAAAGGATCTTCTCCAGGTGTCTCTTGCCCTCTTCCCCATCTTGGGTCTCTAAATATGTTGATGTTTGGTGCCCAAAATGTCATGCCTGTAGCTTGTCCGGCGTTGTATATCCCTCTTGCTTCTTTTCCAATCACCTTCAAGAATCCATTCACAAATCAATAACGATTACTTTTGGATGTAGAGCTTCGTTTTCTTTTCTTTTCTACATATCCAAGTGACCAGGAGCTATATATCTTTTGCTACAGGAACTGAATCGGAAAAAGTGTTAATGTAGAAACACAGTTATTGAGTCTAGCAGATGAAGTTACTTACTTGACCAATGCGATACCAAAGATGAGCATCAAATGAAGCAGCAGTCAGAATAACCTGAGGGAAGCTTGTGGCAAACCGAATGGTCCCGTTGAAACGGATGCCTTGGCGCACCGTGGTTTGAAGGGCGACACCATGTAATGCTTCAGACCACCATTCATAGGCAGGGATGCCAAGCCTCGGGATTCCTGGGGCTGTGTCAACAAGTTGGGATATCTTTTCATCTAATGTTAGTCTAGAGACAAGGTCTTCAACTCTTTGGCTTATGGGTAGTTTAGTTTGGCAAAAAGGGTACAACTTTGTTGATGGGTCAGATGAGTCACATGAGTATGGTGGTTGTGTTGACTTAACATACAAGTGGAGTGAAGTAGTGAGGATGGCGATGAGGATTCTGAGACACAAGTTTTGCAGTCTCATTCTGTTAGTCTGTTGAGGAGAGGTGAACCGAGGGAATGGAGATATTTATTTTTTAAGAGAGGTAATGGGAACAAGGGCAGTGATAAAGCCAGTTTCCTTTTCTTTTTCTTCAAGAGAGCACATTGAAGAAAATGGGTAGCAAAACGACAGAAAAACTCAATTGTAAAGATTTTACTTGATTCTGGTGGTTTGGTAACGCGTACCAACTGTATTTTATAAAAGTTTAATTTTTTTATTAAGAATTAATTTTTATTTATATATTTTGAATTACTTTCATACTCTAATTTTAAAAATATTTTTTAAAAGATGAAAACAATTATTTAAAAATATTTTAATATAAAAAATAATTTAAAAAATAATTATAACTACGCTTCTACTAAACATTCAAAAGTTCAGAATTTTTTTTTTAGCTGTGCTATTTTGAGAAAAATACTAGGGATAACGCTGATACTGAGCATATGTGAGGTATGACAATTTCTATGAAAAATAAAAAATTATATCTGCTCTATTATGAGTTGTTTGGGACCCTGGATAGTGACTTGAGATGAATCCTTCACGTGCCCCTCTGCATGATGGGCACTCGGCAGGCTTGCCTTGAAGGCTTTCACTAGACAATGAGGGCCTCAACCATTCTAACCTTCAACCAGGCCGACTAGATATCAGTAGCAGAAACAAAACGATGCAGGTGCAAATAAGCACGTAAAAATAGCCGTGAACTAGATAGGGCCCGCGCTAAGCTGCGCCACCCCGGTTTTTTTTTTTTTAGCGTGAGAAAAAACAATGTTAAGGGACATAAATATTTCTAAAAACAGTATACATAAATTGATTAAAAAAAACAACATAAAAAAAGCTAAAAAATTAACTTGAATTTGTTTGGATTAGCATGGTAAATCATTTATCTAGTATGATAAGGTAACCTCCTTATAAATAAATTGAATAAAATTATCAAATTTAATTATCAAATAACTCAATATTAAAAAATAAAATATAAAAAAATAATTAAAAAAAATCTGAGTTAACCTGAATTGATCTGATTATGAATATATGAATATGATAACATTATAGAAAAAAATATAAAAATTATAAAAATTAATTCTCAATAAATCAAATATTAAATAAAAAAATTCAAAAAAACTAAAATCAACCCATGCTAAACTTCAAAACTCATATCTTTGGTCATAAGCCCTTGACTATCCTCGTAAAAAACAAAAAAAAATAACAAAAAAAATTCCAAATCATTAAAATATTTATGGATAAAATTGAAAAAAATATAATTCAAAAGTGATCCAAAACAAAAAAAAATACCAATTAAAAGAATAAGTATTAAATTTGATATAAAAATATTTTGAAATTGAATGATAAGGGATGAAATTGAAAATAAAATTAAACTAGAAAAATAATTAAAAATAAAAAAACAATAATTAAAAGAATGAGGATCAAATTTAATATAAAAAATTAAATAAAATTAAATGATGAGAGGTGAAATTAAAGAAAAAAATCAATAAAAAAAATATAAAATAAGAACAAACACCAATTAAAAAAAATAAGAACAAAAGAAAAGAAAATTAAATAACACCTTTATATTTTGATAAGAAAAAAAAAAAAAAAGAGGTGAAAAGAGTTCATCCAAACCCAATTACTATTTTATTGTGCACACGCTTAACATTTTTTTTAAGTGGAAAAAAGATGGTGAAACACTTTCAATATAGCCCTAGAAAGCAACGTTCAAAAATGAGGAGATGTTACATGCATTGCTCGAAGAACATGGATGTTACCCACTAATCGGCGCATGCAGGCTTTTTTAAAAATAATATTTATATTATTCAAAAAACCAAATTATCCTCTTCAACTTGTTTATTATATATAAAAAAATCTAATATGAAAAGGCCTTTTATATAAGTTCAATAATTTTTATTTATAAGTGTAATATAATTTTATACATTTGAAACTAAAAGATCAAATAAACCACGTGCAATCTTTTAATTTATTTATTTTTATGCATTTGAAAAATAAAAATATTGAACTGTCTTTTTAAATAATCTCTTAAAAAAGATTATTTTATCCTTGATATTGAGACATTGATTTTTTTTAAAAGGTATAATAATAATTATATTGTTGCTGTGAATAGTAATATGTTTCTATATATGAATTCTCCATGCATTTTAAGTGTTTTTTTTTTTTTTAATTCGTCGAAGTTTTGGCTAGACTTGGAAAATTTGAGAAAATATTCAAACGAAGGAACCCACGGTCTTCAATTTGGTCGATAAAGTAGAAACAAGAAAAGAGAGTGAAAATTCACATACAATTGATGACACTGTGAAATAGGCAGTAACATTTATCGATATACACCTGAAATATATTATTTTTCTGGGTGCGTCTTCCCCCTTCCTCTGGGTTCACCGACATGGTACCAACACCACCAGACTAGTAAATACTGGCTTTTCAGTTTTGAGAACCCATTCTCCATATCAAATTACAACGGAAATTGGGTACTCGTCACCTTCTACAACCAAGAAATGTCTTCCTTCTTCCATCACCATCAGGCCATCTTCATTAGCTCTACTAAGGTGTTCACAAGGGCTAATTTCAAATTCAATTTCAGCTCTTTCCCCTGCATCTAATACCACACTTTGGAATCCGATCAACTGTTTCCTTGGCCTACCATTTCCATGTTTTTCCTGCCTCGCAAATAGTAAAACTGGATGCTTGCCTGCCACCTCTCCATGGTTCTTCACTCCAATTCTTGCACGGCATTTGCTTTGCTCACAGAACTCCGTGCCCAACTCAGAAATCAATGTGGAACGAACTGAGTCGAAGTCGTTGATTATATGCATTGTTGACGACTGATTTAAGTAGAGTGTGTTTTGGGAGACAGATGTTAGTTCATAAGAGTATTTTGAGTAGCTGATGCCATGACCGAACTCAAAAACAGTTCGGCCTTTGTAGAACCTGTATGTACGGCCAGGATAGCCTGAAGAGGCTTCAGGCCGCATCCCCATGTCTGTCATTGGAACTTTCACAAATTCTTGTGGATACCAAGTCATTGGTAATCTCCCTCCTACATAGCATCATTCATTCACTGTTAGTACATAAGATGTCGAAAAATAAAGTAAAACTTTCCACCAGTGTGTTTCTCGGAAAAAACCTACTGACCCAAAAACAAACCGCCTTTTTCTAGGTCCAGTGCCAAAGTACTATAAGATGTCGAGAATTAAATAAGACTTTCCATCACTCATGCATTTTCTGACAAATAAAGAAGCACAGAATTTCCTTTTAAAACATCGATCATAACTTTACCTGGATTATGATCACCAAACATGATTTCTGCAAGGGCAATGGCACCACCCTCACCAGGATAACCAGCCCACAAAATGCTTCCAATGTTTTTATCATTCTTGGCAAAAGAAATGTCAACAGGACCTCCAGAAAAAAGCACTAGAATAACTGGATTTTTGGCTGCTTTTGCAACAGCGATGATGAGTTCCTGTTGCTTCCCTGGAAGCAACAAATCAGTGCGATCGAGCTCTTCCCTCTCCTGAGTTTGGTCCAGACCCATCATCAATACTACATGATCTGCTCCTTTTGCTACATCCACTGCCCTGTCAACTGAAGCTGAAGAGCATTGAACTGTATCACAAGCGGGGTGATAAACAGTTTGTTTAATGTAGCTCTGCAATGCTTGCAGCGGGGTCACAAATCTGCATGGAGGGCCTGCATAGTTTCCAAGAAGCATTTGCCCAGAATTGGCATTAGGGCCAATAACAGCCAGAGACTTGGTTTTGGATTTCGAAAGTGGGAGGAGTCTTGCAGAGTTCTTTAAAAGGACAATGCCATTACGGGCAGCTTCAAGAGCTAGTATCTGGTGTTCTTGGGAGCAAACTTGGTCAGGACCAATGTTTCCAAAAAGTTGGCCTTCAGGACGTCCATTGAAAAGGCCTAGCCTCATCCTTACAGAAAAGAGGTTATGAAGGGCCTTGTCAATATCGGATTCAGACAGTTTTTTCTGTTCCACTGCCACTTTGGCATGTTTCAGCAAGTATGATCCGCAGTTGACATCCATGCCTGTACATGTATGTTAGACAAAGTTTAAAGACAAAATATAAAATAAAAGGCTACTTTGGTTTACCTGCTAAAGTCCACCTGATTGAAATGAAACTAAAACTCTTATTGAATGCTAGAAAAGATAACTATGATCAACATTATTAAACTGATCGAACATCTCTGTTCTACTAAGGGTCAAGGATGTAATATAAAGAAAATGTTACTGAAAACTATAGAAACCCAGTTCCTGGGGCTTCTCCTAGCCTAATAGCTAAAGCTTTTAGGTTGAGTGGAAATGTTACTGAAAACTATATAAACCCAGTTCCTGGGGCTTCTCCTAACCTAATAGCTAAAGCTTTTAGGCTGAGTGATTCTTTGACACTAGGAATATCTTGATCCATTATTCCACAGCTATGTAGAATCCACTAATTGATCTGTAAAAAATATGTAAGGTGAGAACTTTAATAATTTGAGAATGTCGAATCGCTTTTCCAACTCATCCTATTGATCCATTTTTATATAACTGTATTGTTAAAGTAGACACTGATAAAGGAGTATCATGAGCCTAGGAGTCATTTTAAGCTTTTACTATTTAGAAGCTCAGAGTCATACAAGTAACATTGTGTTTGGAAAAATACGTGTCAACTTTTACTAATCAAAGGGATTGCAACACGATACATGAAGTAATTGCTTTCTTGTTCTATAAAACTTAATTTGCAGTGATTGTAGTCAATTATCTAATTGCAGATTGAAGACTACATGCCGCATGCGAATTCTATCTTCTTCACATACAGCCAGAAGAGAGAAAAGAAGCGAGAGAATAGTTAGCATCCAAAACACCCAAGAAAAGTTAACAAGAGCACAATGACAAGAGTGATGGGCCAATTGCCGATAAACATTGACTTCGGTGCGCACCAACGGGCTCCCTTTTACTGGTGGGACCCATAAGATTAAAGGGGTCCAGAATCGAATAATTCTTTCCTAGCAGGAGTAAATGTAACCAGTACCAAAAAACCTAAAGCCGAAAACACAAGCACATGCTACTTTGAGACATAGGCAAGGAGATCAGGAGGTAGGTCCTATACCAGCTTTAAGCACATCAACCACAGCATCTTCGGGTGATTTAGCATATCCTTGATCATCATGGATGATGGAAACAGCATCACAGTCTGATGTGATATACCTGATTATTAAAACATTTTGGTAATGACAAAACAATAATTGACACCAATGAACACTTCATATGCAGTAGCGTACCATTCACAAGAATATGCACTGCAAATGTATGAACTGCTTTAATACATACCCACGAAAACCCCATTGCGCTCTAGCAGTTTTGGAAAGGAGATTGGAGTCGGCACAGCTAGGGACGCCGTTAACTTTATTGTAAGCACACATTATCCCACTGGCTCTCCCCTCTTCAACACAACTTTTGAATGGTGGTTGATACGTGTCTGCTAAATCTTGCATGGTCACCTGATTTAAAAACAAACCAAAAATAATCACGATTCACCAACTAGTACACTACAGATAACCAGAAAGTCTTAAGGTGACTCGACTGAGAAAAGAATCACAGAATGATATTATTATTTTTTTTTGCCTTCAGACATTTTCGCTCAAAACTGATGCAGACCTAGAACCAAGAAGTAACCTACAGCAGTAGGAAAAAAAAAACTGGCTCAGATTATATATTGGAGAAAGGGCTTAGAATAAATTACAACAGATTGAAATTGTAATTTTATGTTCTGGCATTGGCTAATTTCCAAAACCTGAAGTATGTCGGCAAAGCAAATGACCAGATTATCATAATTGCAAAACCCAATAAAGGATATCATCCACCAATCTAATCTTTTGTATCAAACAAAAGTTATTATAGAGCCCTTGAAACAAGGAAGTATCTTTTATTTTAGTTCCAAAAGGGCACAAAATAAAAAAGGAAAACCAGAAAATATAAAATTGGGTGAAAGCCATTTGGGCAAGACACACTTACGCGAGCATCAAACACGAAGCGATTCATGCCTTTCCAATTATCCAAGTCATAAGCAGTAAAATGCTTGCAACATGCTGAGGCTTGAAGATGCCCTTTAATCTTTCCTCCTTCAAAGGAATCCCCTTGAACCCCTTTCACATATGATGCTGCATATCTCCCGGTCACCAATGGATCCTCCCCGGGTGTTTCTTGTCCTCTCCCCCATCTCGGGTCCCTAAAAATGTTAATATTTGGTGCCCAGAATGTCATACCTGTAGCTTGCCCTGCGTTGTACAGTGCTCTAGCCTCTTTTCCAATCGCCTTCGCGCATTCAAAGAAGAAATAACACAATCAAGGTCAAAATATATAGAACTTATGTACTAATATTTTCGCAAGTAGTAATTAAGAAAGATTAAGGTTTTGTTAGAGTCGTCTTACCTGACCAATGCGATACCATTGGTAGGCATCAAAAGAAGCAGCAGTGAGGATGACTTGCGGGAAACTAGTAGCGCCTTTAATATTATCGTTGAAATGAATGCCAGGCCCTGCATTGGAAACGCCATGTAATGCCTCGGACCACCACTCATAACCCGGGATACCGAGTCTTGGAATCGGTGGAGCTGAGTTGACGAGTTGAGAAATCTTTTCATCCAACGTAAGCCTAGAGACCAGGTCCCTGGCTCTTTGGCTGATGGGCAACGTGGTTTCACAAAAAGGGAAGGCCTCTGTTGATGGGTTTGACGAGTCGCACGAGAATGGTGGCGGAGTTGAATCAACTCCGAGGACAGATAAAATGAAGAAGGTAAAGGTGAAGAAACAGAGTTTTTTCGGTCTCATGGTGGGATTATGTAGACGAAACTGTGAAGCGGAAGTGAGAATGCAAAGTAAAGCTGAAGTTGCAAAAGCCACCGAACTGCCGTCTGCTGTGACCATTTATGTTTTCTTTCTTTCCTTTTTTCTAATGCCCATGGTCATGTCTCCAGTGTGATAACAATGGTTCTGGACCAGGTAAAGAAAGTTAACAGAATCTTGGTGGGTAAAATTTATTCAGATTTGATGAGCTGGAGCCCACCATTAGCCCCCTGCAGCTCCTGAATTACCCAAATACTGTATAATTTTGGTTGATTAAAATTTGAAGAGAATGAACAACCATCTATCCTATAATGGTCATAGGTGGCTCGCTAGACGTTACGAGTCATGATAGTGTTTAAAAAAAAAATCAATAAAAATCTAGGATTGATATCATCAATTTAATTTAATTTAATAATGTAATATAATTATAAAAAAAATCAATGAGTAATTAAAAAGAGAATTGCTTGTGAGCATAATAAAAAATATACTCTAAATATTTTAATAAAGTAAAATTTAAATAAAAACATGATAAACTCATAAAAAATAAAATTCAATTATTAACAAATCACATGTTGAAAAATAAATTAAAAAATAAATAAATTTTAAAAAAACAAAAAAACTCAACTCAATTTAGTATGTGAATTTCATAGCCTGATTATAAGAACAAAATAATCTTATAAAAAAAATGAGTAAAACAATAAAGATCGATCCCCAAACAAACTAAATTATATAAAAAAATGAATTAAATGAATAAATAAAACTTGAGTTGAATAGGGTTAACTCTATTAACTCGCGACTCAAAATATTAAATCGAAGTAACTCTATAGGAAGAAAAGGGAAGAAAATCACAAAACTTATTATTTGATAACCTCATGTCAAATGATAAAA